TGTTGCGCCTCGTTCATCACTTCGTCCGCAGATGTGGAAGGAGGAGGTGGGGGGGAGGGGGGGAGGCGGCAGAAGGAAAGGCCCCTGCCATCAGATCTTTATCGTGGCATTGTAATCCGCAAGGAAGAAAGAAAAGTGGACAGGAGGGGAGAGAGAGAATAGGGAGGTTGAAAGGGATTGGAATCGTCATTCTGGCGATGAGGTTCTGGGGGTGCTAGGGTAGCCAGTGAGATGAGTCGCAGAAACAAACATTTTTCTTTTTCTTCAAGTCCCACACTTTCTTATTACAATGTCTGGCCTGCCTGCAGCTTCTGACCTTTCTGCAGACTTCTGGAATCATCATTCGTCAGATGATACCGTCCAAAAGAATGTCTTAATGACGTTTCGCACCGGACGTCCCACATCGAGAGGAAGCGGATTCCGAACCTCTGTGGAGCAGAATTCTTCCCCTGTAAACCCCAGCCCTGAACCTGCATCAGGTGCCTTCATCACACCAGATGCCGGCGAGGTGAGTCACAAGCCAAACAGCGACCCCATTCTTCCTCAATAGACACGCCTGGCTTGGGATCAGAAAATTGGCTTCCTGGATACTAGAGAGCTTTTTCTTTTGTTTTTTTTTGGAATTCAGGAGAACGGCATTACTGGTGTGCAAAAGATTATAAGTTCTTTCCTTTCCATTTCTCTTTTTTTTCTTCTGAAAAAGTTTAGCCCCTAACATTGTTGCATCCATGTGATTCCATCAGGATTTGAGTTTTGAATTTTGAACTCGTGATTTTCCTATCGACAATTACATGTGTGTCCCATTCACCCACTTGGGCTGGGTAGAACTCTTTTCTTTCCAAAGTGGCTTTTATCGGACATTCTGATTCAGAGTTTAGGGGTTTGCCCCTTTAGCTTATGTTCAGGGTTTAGGGTTTAGGGTTTAGGGTTTTGCGCTTTCAGGTTATGTTAGGGGTTTAGGCCCTTTAGGGTTTAAAGTTTAGGGTCGCCCGCCTACATCATGTTAAGTGGCAGGCTTTGGATTTAGGGGACGGAAGCCCTCATTATTAAACCACCACTACCTCTGTCACTCATGGGAAAAATGGGAAAAATGGCTGTTTTAGTGTTTTCCCACTTTTCCCGAACTTTTTTGGGGGTTGGACGAGGCTCGGCAGTTTGGCCTTGAGGGCCCCTTCGAAAAACAAAAAGAAAAACAAAACATCATGTCGGGGAAGGCCGTGCACCAAGTTGTACTCACACCAAAACTCACATGTCCGTATCTAACCGCTATAGTGACCAGTTTCAGGTTTTCATTGTTTGTGTTTTTTGTTTTCGTTTTTTTTTTCCGCTTTTTTTTTTCGTTTTGGTGCCCCGCCAGGGAGGCACGGCGCAGTCCACAGGCTGCTGACACTTTGTGGAGGGGGGCATGCCCACACTATTACTTTGCAGAATGTATGAACCCGCTTTCCCGCCCTAAGTTCAGTTTCAATTTTTTTTCCCCTCTTCCTTCTTTCGTGGACCTGACCCCTTGCCGTAACGCCCTCACTAAGGGCATACTCACACAACGACTTTGGGCTGGGTATCTACCAGGTATCGCGTCCAAAGGGGTGTTTGTTTTTTTTATTTTATTTATTTTTGGCAGCAAGTGGGTTGTTTTTTGAAAGTCTGGCCGTGCTTTTTCTTTTTTTTTTAAGGAGAGTACCAGAAAAGAAACAAAACAGAACCCAGGCGCGCAAACTCGGTGTGCAGTGAAAATCAGGGTGGGCAAAAACAGGCTCGGAGGTACTAGTGGTGGTTTAAGAGAAAAGTACAGGGGAGTCCACTCAGGTTTTGAAAATTTGACATGCAGAAACTACCCTCATCAGAGTTCACCTGGATGCGCAGCTGTGCTTGTCCTATTCAGCACCATGGCATGCAGATAACCACGTGCATTTTAATTTTGTCCTCTCAAGCATAGACGGGCTATTTCTGTCTCCACTCTATTATAAATTCAGCTGGAGAGCTTCCCTCAAGCCACGGGCTGCTGATACCCCTCGGAGTTTCAAAACAAAAATAAGCGTAAAAATTCAGCTGGTGGTGTCCTCCAGGACATCCGTTAAATTCGGAATGGTACACAGAAGATTAGCATGCCCCTGCACAAGGATGGGACACATAAATCGAGAACTGCTCCAAATGCGAGGCACAAGGCCTCGATAAGCCCCACTGGGCCCTGTTATCAGCAAGGTCGGCCGCCCTAAGTGAAGGCAGGCCCGACCGAGGCCTATTTTGGACTACTACGCAACTGGGGAAAATTCAGGCAGTTGCGCAGCGCCAGTTGGTTGGAAGCACCCAGGCCCAGGCTGCCTTTCATCGTATGTAACTGAGGCAGGCCCTGGGCCGGATACACAACATGGACTGAACAAAGGCTGAGGGCAGTTGGGCGCTGGTAACCACCATAGGCCCTGGGCCTGTTTTCTTTGGACTGAGGCTCAGCCTTGTGGGGCCTACCGGAAGCTTCTGGGCGGGGGCCCAGTACCGCATTACCGCATGCAGCAGCAGGCCACTTCGATATAGGGAAGGGCCTGCCCACGCATTTGCCATTCGGGCACTGGCTGCATGCTGTGCAAGCGCTGCTGCGCTAATGCTGGCCAGCGTTCACGTGCTCACGGGCGAGCTGGAAGGAGCAGGCAGCCATAGCCGAGCTGCACTGCTGTAAGCTGGATGGGCCGCATGGTGGTTCTTGGGTGCATGTGGCATCTGTGAGTTGGGGATCGAGGTTGTGAGTGATACGAGAGACATACCTGGTGCTTGAGGGGAATGGCATTGGCCGAGATCTGCTCGTACTTGGGGAAGCTGTTGACGTCATCAGCGGCATTGTGGATAGGCTAGACAGGATCTGCCATTTGTGATCTGGGCGCCGAGCGCCAGATAGGATATCGACATTGGTTCTTCGTTGATGATGATGAGACTATTCCAGCATTGTCAATTATGAGCTTTTGCTGTGCTCTTATTTGGTGGAACTCGTGATGCAATTCTGCTATTGGTTCGAGGTCAGGACTATCTGGTCTCATGTGTACGATGCTGTTTGATTTCTGAAGTTCGCTATCGCTCATTATCCTTGCACAAATTTCAAAAATTCAGCTGGTGCATGGTCTCCAGATTTCCATGTGCTTAATCACAGAGATTATTTGCTTGGTCTCAAGTGCATGACTTCTAATCAAATAGCTGGGTATTAGTCAGTGAGTACGAGCAGTACCCACCTCACAGGTTACAGCAAAATCCCCCTCACCTTTATTCTTCGTCTTTGGTCATTGATCTGTGTAATCTACGGTCAGAACTAGAATTATTGTGAGTGGGTTCTCTCTCAACCTCTCTGGCTTACTGCAAGTATGAAAGCATTTCCCAACCGCTTAGGTTAGCACCGAACAGGCTCTCCCGGTGCCATGCCCGTGCTAAAAAAACATGAACCTGGTCGTAAAACTGCTTAGCATGCTCAATTGCCATGCACATAGCACCTTGTGGCGATCAGCCCTCAGATCCCCGGTTGATAATCAGCATACCCGCTACTCGGCCAAACCATCCGAGCAAGCTGTGACCAACCGTCTGACCATTATGCTATGATCCTGGCCAATTTCGAAGTACACGTTCATCAGAAAGTACAATGCTGTCCAATTGCAAAAAGAAATGAATGAACTTGAGAGGAGAGAGAGGGAAAGAAGAAGAAGAAGAAGATGATGATGTACACCAGCATAGACCAATGATAATGCTCTTCTTCTTTGCCAACCACTCTCCTCCTTGTTATCTCTTCCCCTCTTGTTCAAACAAGAAATAATAATAACAATGTTGAATGGCTGAACCAGAATCAATGTCCGAATCCCACTTCTACTGCAGGTATCACATGAGGTCCACCATGACCATGGTCGCCCTTCTTCCTCCTTCCTCCTTCCTCCAAGGCCGAGGCTATGCTGGACAACCAGGGCATTGCCCTGCTGTCCAAAGGACAACACAAAGCAGCTATGGCTGGTGTAGCTCAGCCGCCATGCCTGACTCTGCCTCGAAGCTTCTTGGTGTAGCTCTCCCCAACTGGGGCCTTCCTGCTGCAGCGCCCACCGAGGTGATGAAGATAGCAACAGCCATAGCCAGGTAAGTACCTCTGGCGCTCCCCCTTCCTAGTCCTTGTCTTCTTCCTCCTCCGTGTCCTTGCTCCTTCCTCAGCAGCGCTGCTCCAGCCAGCGCTCCAACCAGTGTGTCGCCAAACTTGCACAATGACAATGAGGAGGAGCACCTTGCTCCTCCTGGAGATATAGCGGCCTGCTTGCCTCTTGGCGAGTGACTTCCTAGGCCGCGTGGCCTCCAAGCAACTGTTACCTCCTCCCTTTTGGAGGGAGACATCATTGCAGACTCTGATATTGCCCGTACAGGCCCTAGACTCAGACTGGTTGGACTGGTCCCCGCCTCGACCTAGCCTACAACTCCTGGGCCTCTAAAAATGCCAACTTTTGTCTTCTTCTGCTCGGCCTTGAGTACCCGGCACATCTACCTCTACCTGGTGTGGTACCGGCCTACCTGCTGCTTGAGTGTTTTCCGCTGCTTCAAGTGTTGCGGGCCTCTTTCCCTGCCACTTGAGTGTTTTCCCCGCTTCAACCCTCAATGTCACAGCCACAGGTAAGTACCGGCCCTTCGGGCCCTCTGAATGAACAAGTGCCCTTGGGAGTCGCACACGCACTCAAGCCGACAACCACTCAGACAGGCATGCAGACCAGCAAGCATGCACGCACATAGACTTAGAGAACTCAGCAACAAGCGGGAAACTCAGCAAGGCATTCATTCCATGAGCAAAACTCAGAAATCAGCTGTGTGTCTCAGTCCGTGTTTGGCAGGTCATTACATTTATGTGTTCTCTTGTCCTGGGCCACACTGGAGCATGCTTGAGTGTGCTCGAGTGTGCTTAAGCACACCTGAATGGGTTCGTTCTAGCTTGCCTGGAGTTCGCTTGAGGGTGCCTGATGGCGCTTGAGGGTGCTTGAGGGTGCTCAAGGTATTCGAGGGTATTCGAGGGTGCTTGAGGGCTACAGGATGATGCAGGGTGATGCAGGGTGATGGATGTGCTTGAGGGTGTTTGAGGGTGCGTGAGGGTTATCGAGGGTGCTTAAGTCCGCTTCAGGATGATGCAGAGTGATGGATGTGCTTGAGGGTGTTTGAGGGTGCTTGAGGGTTATCGAGGGTGCTTAATCTGCTTCAGGATGATGCAGGGTGATGGATGTGCTTGAGGGTGTTTGAGGGTGTTGAGGGTTCTTGAGTGTGCTGGATTGTGTTGAGGTTGCTCAAGGGTGCTTGAGGGTGCTTCAGGGTGCTTGAGACTGCCTTGAGGGTGCTTCAGGGTGTTACACGTGCACCTAAAGTGCTCTCAAGTGCAGTTGAGTTTCCGCAGGTGTTCTTGAATTTGCTTGAATCTGGTCCAGAGTGCCTGACGGGCGTGGAAGCAGGGCCAGTGGGGGTCGCGGAGTGGACAATGGGGAGATATTCTGCACTGAAGATTTCCTTTCATCA